TATCTGCCTCTGGGCTATTTTTCCTATATTTTCTTCCACAGTTATGGTTAGCCTTAAATAAGATTTGCAGACTGTGTTTGTAATCTAAACAAGCCTAATTCCTCCAGTCTTCTGGAGATCACTATGTTCTTAAATCTCCTTATCTATGACAAGGGTCTGGGGTTGTAGTTCAATTGCAGAGCGTTTGCCTAGTACGTGTGAAGCACTGGGTTCAATCCTCAGCATCACATAAAAATAAACAAATAAGATAAAAGTATGCTGTCCATCTACAACTACAAAAAAAATTTTAAGTATCTATGACAAAATATACCAAATGAATTCCATTAATCAAACTAATTCTATTATTTTAAAACCACAATTAAATAATTTCTACCTTTCCCAATTGTATTTATGCTATATTCATTGTGATAAATTATTTTATATAAGACTTTTACATTTTATATAAAAAGTACACAGTAAATAACTGATGCATCAAATATTGAATATAAAGGTTTTGTGCATTTCCTTCTGTAGCCATTATTTCTATGAAATGTAATTTTATTAGATTGAATTGTTCCTAGAAGTCATTTTATCCACTCTAACATGTATTCTGTATTGGTTTTTGCCAGGATTCATATTTATTTAAGATTTTAGATAAAGCAAAAATGGTTTCTTAACTAATTGTTGCACTTCTCATCAGACATTCTCTAATTGCCTTTTGTCCTGAATTGGATTATAACATTGCTAATTTGCTTCTCCAACAGACTTTGCAAACTGTATACTAACTAGGCCCTCTGGACTGAGAAAGGGCACAGAACACAATTAAATATTCTCTGTTTTATACACTACTGAGCCACTTGCAAACATATGTAGGATTATTGCTTTTCAGACTTAATGGTTTTAATTCCTTCTTAATAATATGGAAACATCCAGTGCAATGCTGAATAGAAATGATGAACACAGACGTTCTTGCTTTCCTCCGAATCTTAGAAGCATAAAATGCTAACATTCATATCGCGTTATAGTTTTTGTTGTTCTTTATCAAACTAGGACATTTCCTTCAATTCCTAATTTACTGAGAGTTCTTCCCATAAACAGATATTGATTGTTTGAACTCTTTTATTTCTGTTGAGATGAATACATGATTATTCCTCTATGATCTATCAAGATGATTAATTATGCTGTTTGATTTTTAAATATTAAGCCTATGTTCCTGTTCTGGGATAAGTTTCACATGCCCATGATAAAATACCTTTAGATACATTACGAGATTTTGTTAAGTTTTGTTAAGAATTTTTGTATCTAAATTTATGAGAAATATTGGGCTGTAATTTTTTGTTATAATTTTATTGTAAGTTATTGATGTTAGGAATAGCTGACCTCATAAAGCAAATTGGGAACTGCTGCCATCTCTGTTTTTACAATGAATTTATGTAAAACTGTGATTTTTTTCTCTTTTAAATGTTGTTAGAATTCACTGAGCTAAGACATTTCTTTAGTGGGAGGATTTTTAATAATATATGTAGTAGTAGTATTTATTTACTTATTTGATCTACTATATATTTGATATTTATTGTTTTAATAGCAAATTACCAAGGAGCTAACAGATGTTCACTTTTTTCTTGTCTCAGTTTCAGTAAAGTTGTGTTCTTTAAAGTATTTTTTTCATTTAATTTATATTTTCAATTATATTACCATGATATTTTCATTATATTCCCAGCTTATCCTTTTAATAATAGATTGTAGTAATACCTTTTCGTTTATTATTAATATTTGTTATTTGATGTTTTTTTTCTTTTTCTTTTTCTTTTTTAAGGTACTGGAAATTTAACACAGCGTTGCTTTACCACTGAGTTACATGCTCAGTCTTTTTTCTTTTTATTTATTTATTTATTCATTTATTCATCTACTTTTTTGAGACAGAGTCTCACTAAATTGCCTAGGCTGGCCTAGAATTTGTAATCCTTCCACCTCAGCCTCTCCGGTATCTGTGAATACGGTTGTGTGCCACTGTATCCGGCTTCTTGACCATTTTTGCTAGAGAGACATCAATTTTATTAATCTTATCAAGGTGCTGTTTAATTTTCAAATATTCTGAGTACTTTCTAGATGTCTTATTGTTAGTGGTTTCAAATTTATTTCCCTTGTGATCAGAAAACATACTCAGTAATATCAATCCTTCCATATTAATTGAAATTTCTTTTACAGCCCAACATGTGTCCTACTACAAAGAATCTTCTGTATGTGTTGGAAGAGAACGTGGCTACTAATGACCAATAACGGGGAGGAGGGGGGAATAGAAGCTCATTGGATTAAACAAACAGAAGGAAGAGGAGGAAGGGGGGATGGGAATAGAAAAGACATTAGAATTAATCGGACATGACTTTCCTATGTTCATATACAAATACATGAACTCTGTAATTCCACATCATGTAAAGCCACAAGAATGGATCTTAATTAGAATAAGTTATACTCCACATATGTATAATACATCAAAATACATTCTAAGTTCATGTATACCTAAAAAACAAATAAAGAAAGAAAACATATATTCAGAATTTTGTCAGGTATAAAGTCAAACAGTTGTATATTGGGTCATGTTGGTTGATATTACTGTTCAAATCTTCTTGAGTCTCACTGATTTTATTTACTTATTCCATCAATTGCTGAGAGAAGAGTATGCTTTAAAAAAAACTCCAACCACTATTTTGATTTAATTATTTCTCCCTTTGTTTCTGTTGATCTCTTCATTATGAATTTTAATTTTTTTTTTATTTTTAGGTTCATTAACATTGAGGATTTTTAGGTCTTCTATATGAATTGTTTTATCACTGTGAAAAATTCTACTCATTGAATATTGTCAATTCTTTCCAGTCCCCCTTGTATATTTGAGTTTACAACTTGCATTCTCTTTACCCTGAAGGACTTCCTTGAACATTTCTTTGTTTCTTTTTGTACTGAGGATTGAACCCAGGGCCTTGCACATGCTAGACAAGCAGGCTACCAATGAAGTGTACGCCTAGGGTCTTGGTAAGTTGCACTGGCTGGCCTTAAACTTGCAGATCATCCTGCCTCAGCCTCCCAAGTAGCTAGGTTATAAGCATCTTTTAGCATTTTTCAGGAGGTCTGCTGGCAATAAATCCTCTCAGCTTTCATTAAGCATAAGACATCACTTTATTTTTAAATTTTTTAAAAATATTTTTTAGTTGTAGTTGGACACAATACCTTTATTTTATTTATTTATTTTTATGTGCTGAGTATCGAACCCAGTGTCTAGCACGTGCTAGGCGAGCGCTCTACCACTGAACCACAGCCCCAGCCGTAAAATTATTTTGATGGATGTATAATTCTAATAGGTGAGTTGCTTTTGTTTGTTGGGTTTCCACATTTTATTTATTCTATTACATGCTAGTTTACATTTTTGAAGAAAAGCCAACTGCAAGTCTTCTCATTGTTCCCACGTATGTGCTCTGTGCTGCTTCTAGGGTTTTTTTCTTTATCTTTGGTTTTCAGCAGTTTGACTTTGACACTCTTTGATACAGTTTTCTTTGTATTTATTCTGCTTTGAATTCACTGGAATTTGGGGGTCTTTGGGGTGGCTGGGGGGGAGTCGTTTGCTTTTTGTTTGTTTAGTGTGTAGTGCTAGGAGAACCTCGGGCCCCATGCATGCTAGGCCAGGGCTTCATTCTACTGAGCTACCTCCCATCCCTCACTAGGATTTTTGAATTGATCGTTTTCATGGACTTGGGGAAAAAATAGTCATTACTTCAAAATTAGTCATTTTTTCAAAAAATATCATTTCTGCTTGGGCACAGTGGCACACACCTGTAATCCCATCAACTCAGGAGGTTCAGGAGGCTGAGGCAGGAGGATCATGAGTTCAAAGTCAACTTCAGCAACTTAGCAAGACCCCATCTCAAAAAAATAAAATAAAATAGAAGGTTGGGAGATGTAGCTCAGTGCTAAAGCACCCCCCGGATGAATTTCCAGTACAATTATTATAACACAAGTCATAGATGATGTTTTAATCTGTCAGCATTTTTTCCTCAGTGTTCTCTTTTGAATAATTTCTATTGACCTTTCTTCAAGATCCTTGATTCTTCTTTCACAGTGTTTGTTCCATTGTTAAGGTCAACTGCTATGTTTTTGCTTTTTGGACTCATTCTATTAGGTTAGTTTTTTGTTTTTTAAGTTTCCTTTCATTTTTATGAGATTCCCCATATTTACCTGCTTGTTTCATCTCTGCTTATAAATTTCCAAGTGGATTTTTTTATGTTTTATTGATATTTTTTTTAAATGACGGTAGAATGCATTACAATTCTTATTACACATATACAGCACAGTTTTTCATATCTCTGGTTGTATACAAAGTATGTTGACACCAATTCGTTTCTTCATACATGTACTTTGTTTAATGATGTCCATCACATTCCACCATCCTTGCTTGTCCCCTGCCCCCTCCCTTTCCCTCCCACCCCTCTTCCCTATCTAGAATTCATCTATATAATTTTCTGCCAGTTCTGGTTTCTGAGTTGTCTATGATTTTTTTATTGATTGACTTTTGTATTTTGTATGGGTCTCATTTCCACATAAATGAATTTAGAAGCATTTCCTGGTATACTGAACATCATACTCCAATGATGTACAATTTAGATGCTAAGCAACTTAGGATGGGCTTACAACCCAATAAACCCATCATAAGTGGAAAACATCTTAAGTCAAGAATGCATTTAATGCAACAAACCTATGAACTTTGCAGCTTGGCCACAGAGTACACTGCAGAGTGTCAGCTGTTCACCCTTGTGGTCACGTGGCTGCCTGGGAAGGACAGCTCACAGCTGCTGCCCAGGGTCTAGAGAAAGTATTGTGCTGCATATCACCAGCCTGTAAAGAGATCGAAATTCAAAGTACAGCTCCTTCTGAATGTGTATCATTGTCACATCATTGTAAAGTTGTAAGATCATAAGTCAAACCATGGTAAGTCAGAGACCTTTTGTATGTAGATAATAGTGGAGACTGAGTTACACAACGTTTTTGATTTGTTTTTTTATTACCAAACTTGTACAATCTCCTTGTTCTGTATCATTGATAAAGTAGGGAGGTGATCATTTGGATTTCACCAACTATCTAGCTAATCTTGGACAAGGAAGCCATGTTTAAGATTGAATTTACTGCTGGTTAGCCTTTCCTCACAATGCCACAGCTGTTCCTGCCCGAGTCTAATTTCCTTCATTTTTTTCAATGTGTGACCCTGGAGTATGGTGTGGGTTGGCACTCAGTTTCACATTTTGAATCAGAAGTAGAAGAGCCCCTCATTTCCAATCTCCTCAAGAATAAATAAGACTAGAGAGTATTCTTCTACTTTTTAGCCACTGAGATTACAGGCATGGACCATACCATGCCCGACTAGGTCAAGTACATTTCTGCTGCATTTGGGAGGTTTCTACACTCCATTCTCCCTGCTCTCCACCAATATTGCCAGTACCTCTCTGTCAGTCTGGCAAGCTTTCTCCTCCACCTGTGCCTCCAGAATCTGTCACTTCTCAATGACTTCATTTTCTGAACTTTGCATCCACCACCCTTCAGTGTTTCATGGACAAGTTTGAGTTTTACAACATCTTAAGGGGTTGTGTTCTTGTTTTTATTTTGTGCATTGCCATAAGAGTGAATATCTTCCACCTTTTTCCACATCATAGTCACAAAGCTGTTTGTGTTTCAATTGTAGCCAGGCTGTAAAAAAAAAATTATACTTTCCTTATTTTGTCTATAACTGATATGGCTTTCCTTATAATTATCTCTCCTGCTGGGTAGCAAGTGTGTCTTGAAGTGTAGTTGTGTTTAAAACTCTGGAATTCAGGATTTTGTTTTTCTGTCGGGAACCTTGGAGCTCCCGCTACTGCACACACAGAACACAGAGGGGACATGTTCTCTGGGGCTCTGTTTGACTCCAAATGGGAGATCTCCACCCACACTCCTTCCAAAGCAAACACAGAGGGCTGGGTTTGTAGCTCAGTGGTAGAGCACTTGCCTAGCCCATGGGAGGCACTGGGTTCTATCCACATACAAATAAATAAATAAGATAAATGTATTATGTCCATCTAGAAAAATATTTTTTTAAAAAAAGCAAACAGAGACATAACTAAGGAACAAATGAAAACATAAACAACAGCTCAGCCTGGAGCTGCACAGCAGAGGAGAGAGACTCGGGCTTTGAAGGCATAGAGCTCAATCCAAAACAGTAGAACACTAAGGCAAAAACAGCAGAAAATAGAGCAGCCAGCAACTGAGAGTTTCAGGGAGCCGGTCTCCATGTGCAAAATGAAAAGAAAGCATGGATACCCTGCAATGAATTCCCCTAGGAAATCTGTTAGCGGCATATTCATCCTTGAAACAGCAAGAAAGTGAGAGCTAAGTCCTAAGCCACCGAACCTGAGATGTCATTAGTCAGCAGTGTTCATTTGGGATGTCACACAGACTATTCTGCAAAATCATGCTGACGTTTTAAAATCAGACATGTCACATAAAATTCCAGATTTCCAGTCTTCTTGGGAAATACAGATTACAGCCAAGCTAGAGTTTGACTTTGTACTTGACAACAGGCCACCGCAGCTGCCACCTTGGCACAGGATATGAGCTTCCCAGCTCAAGACAGATTCCATCACTCAGAGGCCAACACATGCACTTCCACCCTAGTCCCTGTATCTCCGCATTGCATGCAGGTAAACACGGGAGTTTGCACTGCTGTTTGTACAGAATCACTTGTAACAGAAGGAAAAAGAACTTAAACTCTTTTAGATAAATGCTAAAAGAGGAGGTGATTATTTTTGTTACTTCTCCAAGACCACGCTCACTTCACACTCAGTTCCTGAGCAGGGGAAAACTACAGTCCTGGGAGCTTGATGCTTGGCCTCCAGAGAGGCAGGTGGCCAGGAGACTCACAGGAAGTCTTCATAGGAGCTGTGAGGGAGTAGAAACAGAGACACCTTTAGGAAAACAGGAACAGGGGATGGAGAAGAGAGAATGAGGGAAGGAGCAGATGGAAGGGGAGACTTACCTGCGTTTCCTAATCCAGAAGGTTAAGCCTAGAATGAGCATAAAGAGGAACACCAGACAGGTCACCACCAGGAGGACCAAGCCTACAGAGGTGTGGGTCCCATCTGCATGGGGGAAAACAAGGTGTGTGTCAGCACAGGACCCTTCCAGGTATCAAGTTCCCTGGCCTAGCACATGTGAGGGGGCCAGGTACTGCTTATTCCCCACCACCACCATGGATTTAAAGCATCAACTTCTATTCCTCAGGAGTTTCGACTCCCCACCTTTTCACAGGGTCTAGGCACCTGCACTACAGTTCATTTCACTATATAATAACGTAGCGTACAATTTCCTCATTTGTAAAATAAAATAACAGTAACTGCTTCAAAAGAGAGTGGTGATGATGCTCAGGTAAAGCACTGGATGCAGCGTTGCCTGGCCCCACGCAGGAAGCACTCAGTATACCACAGCTCTCCTTGTTAACCTGCTTTTCATAAGTCCCTGATCCCCATTCTGCTGGGAAATGAGTTTCCCAGAATTCTGTTTTCATTTTATATGCAGTGCTGCTGGTTGAATCCCAGAGTCTGGGACAAACCACTGAGCTGCATCCCTAGCCCTTATCTTTTATTTTGAGACAAGGTCTCCCTAATTTGGCTAGGCTGGCCACCTACTTGGAATTCTCCTGCATCAGCCTCCCCAACAGCTGGGAATACAGATGAGTGCTGTCATGCCCAGCTTCCAGGGATTTATTATTTGCCAATAACTTCCAGATCTCTAAGATTATCAATCCCATTTCATCTTGTATTAATACATCAGATCTCAGTCCCATTTTTTTCCTTTCTGTGTCTGGAATCCATCCTTCTAGCCCTCCTAGTTGGTGTGCCAATTTCATCCTTCACAGTCGCTCCCTCTATGCTTCAGAACCACCTGTCTCCATTTCCAACAGAGCCCCAGCCCTTTCTCACCCCAGTGGAGGACGAGGTCCTGCCCTCCTAGGCTGCTGTGCTTCACCCTGCAGGCCAGGCCAGCCAGCTCCCCAGCTGCCACATCCAGGGTTGCTCGGAGATGCCACGTCTCATCACCATTGGGCAGGATGTCACCTCTCTGAGTGCCCTGCTGCTCCTGTTCCCCTTGCATCCACATCACCCACACGGGCTTTGGGTAGAAGCCAGACATGTGGCACACCGGCAGCAAACGGCCAGGCCCAGGACTCGGGCCACTGGACAGCCAGGCCTCGGGCTTCACTGTATCCAATAAGGGATGAGGAAACCATAAGGTGAGAACTCTGCATCAGAGGTCCCAGGCCTCCTCCAAGGTTCATGCTCCCCAAAGGTCCACTTCTGGAGGTGGAGTCTCCAGGTAGCTTTGATCCCTTTGTTACCTTGCCCAGGAGACCCATCCCTCATCTCCTTCCCCTCCCCTGATCCCAGTGCCCTATAAATGCCTCACCTCCTACTCTAACACCCTGAGCTCAGCTGGAGCACACATCATGTCTCAAACATTGTCTGAATCAATTCTGACCCACAGTCTTGATTTAATTCAACTCATGGAACCCAGCAGGTATTCAATGATTGATGGTGGGTGATATGAAAATATACCCTCAATGTCAACATACCTTATATATAATCAGAAATATGATAAATTATTGAATAATGGTGTATTAAGAATTGTAGTGCAAAAATAAATAAGTAAATAAATAGAAAATATACCCTCAAGCCTTATTCATCCTTTCCTGTGTCCTGCTCTTTCTCTGATGCTTAAAGGAAAGCAAACCAACTGAGCAGTGATGCACAACTGTAATCCCAGCAGCTCAGGAGGCTGAGGCAGGAGGATCTGGAGTTCAAAGCCATCCTCAGAAAAAAGTGAGGTGCTAAGCAACTCAGTGAAACCCTGTTCTCTAAATAAATACAAAATGGGCTGGGGATGTGGATCAGAGGTCGAATGCCTCTGAGTTCAATTCCAGCACCCCAAAAAAATAATAAAATGAAATGAATTTTTTAAAATGGAAAGAAAACCCTTGGATGGCAAAACCGAGAGGAGTCAGAGTGTAGGGTAGATGGAGAGGACAGAAGGCTGACCTTGCTTCTCCAGTTCTGACTTCCCTGTCTCTAGGAGGCCATTCACAAATTGGGGGCAGATGTCATTGAGGAGCCACTGCACTGTTTCCTTTGTCCCTTTGTCCTGGTTGAGCACTTTGATGACCAAATCTACCCTCTGGGGGCCCTGTGGGGCAGGCTCCCAAGCAGTTCCCTGGAAACTCAGGATATATTCTCCTTGATATGCTACATGGAGAAAGTGTTCTGAGACGTTCCCAGGGTGCACCTCACAGCCACCAGACAGCTGCAGCTCCATGGGATCTGTGGAGAGAAACGTGCAAAACTCAAATGAGCTTTAAAGGACTGAAAGGGATGAAGGAGAAGAGACTGGTACTGGGGTTACACGGGGGACCCACAGTGGAAGGAAATGAGAGTGGGTGGCCTGATGCCTGAAACTGGGGCCCGGCCAGGCAGAAGTGCAAGTGCTCAGAGGGGGAGAAAGCAGACAACCTCATCCCCTCTCCCAGCAGGACTTCCATGCCCATTCTCACACTGTGGCGCCTGCCCTGGATCCATCCGCTCAACTCACACTCTAAGGACAGCATTTTGGCGAATTCCTGTATGTCCCTGGTGAAGCTGCTTCGAAAAACCCGAAATATATTCTGCAGGTGGACCCACTGCTGGCTGCTGAAGGTGCCCTGGGCCCAGGGCTTCACAAAGCTGATGGTGTCTGAGGCATTGCTCCAACTGTGCGTCTGCAGCTCCCCCAACTGGATTAAGGCGTCAGTGCGCATCCAGCTGCTGTTAGTGAAGGAGGAGATCTGGAGATAGCGGAAGAGGACACTCCTTCGCAGGACTGGGGACAAGAAGACTGGGTGAGTACAGCAAATGGCCTACGGAGCAGACAGCACAAGGAGAGGAAGGAAGCAAAGCAGATGGTGAGTCCAGGAGGGTCAGCTGGGGTGCGCCTACCCTGACCCGCACCGCGCTAGGAGCCAGAGACCCCACAGTCTCTGGTGCATTTGTGCGCGCCGGGCTCCGCGGCCCAGCGCTCATCCCCTCGTCCAGGGGAGCCTTTCCCTAAGTCTCAAGCCCGCTCCCCCTCTTGGTCCTTTAGCGCCAGGATTCGGGCACCCTGGGCCACTCACCGTCAGAGCTTCCCCACACCTGCGGGAGCACCCACAACAGCAGGAACCAGCTGCACCCCAAGCCGCGGAGTCTGGGACCTTGCGGGCTCCGCCCTTCCCAGGGCGCTGCCCTCCACGCCACGCCCCCAGCAGCCTTGTGCGCTCCGCTTTTGGAGGGGACCCCAGCCAAGTCCCAGGCACATCTCAGGCAGCCGCCCCGCTCCTGCTGGGGTGCGTTTTACTCTTCTGCTAGACTGTCGCCCTAGCCCCTATGGGTTTCGTCTGCAAGGAGTCCCTGCTGGAATGGGAGGAGTCCCGAAGCAGTCGCTCACTTCACTGGGTTGCACAACCAACTCACTTTCCCAGGATCTGTCTCAATGAAGAAGGAATATCAAACAGCACCTGCAGCACTTTGCAACTGTTATCTGTTAAAAGAGGACATTGGGTGTATCTGTTTTACCACTGCGACAGTGCCAAAAAAAAAACAAAAAAAATTTTTTTGAAAGAATTTGGTTTAGCGGTGTGGGTCGCCAAGTGGAGAGACTATGGGTGATTTTGATTTGTTTTACACTTTTAAGTTTTCAAAAAAAAAAAAAATCTACAAGTGAATCTATACATTGACCATAAACTACAACATTAAAACCAATTTTCTCAGTGTCCCGAGGTAGAATAAAAGACATAGGATAGGTACAAAGGAGACAAGGGATAAAAATCAAGAGTGGCCTGGATTTAAGGTTCAGATTTAAAGTCCACGTTCACATGGATTAAAAGTGCAGGTTTCAAAGTCACTTTCACGTACTCTGATTACAAACAGCACTGCTCCAGCCATTATTAGTCCTCACCCACAGGACCTTAAATAACGTCTTTCCTCACCTGGACCCACAAGAAAAAAATGGGTCTGAGAAATGCCTTTGCTCAACAAGTAGATATTCTTACAACTCATACATTGAGAATTGATTAGTCATCTATATGTCACTCTGCATCAAACCCTCAATGTTACACCAATGTAGTAATATTTAAGTTCACATGCAGAACAATGAACCCCCCCCCCGGGGGGGGTTGCAAAAAGCGATTTCTCTTCAAAAATAAATCAGAAAAGAAAATAATGCCTATTGGGTAATTGTTAACCTTTCCACTTACTGTCACAAAGCAGGACTAAACCACCCTCTTAGATCATGTCCCTGTACTACAAAGAGTTCACTCAGTTTGGGGAACTTGGTCCCATTTGCTCCCCTCACCAGCTTCCTGTTATAACCACTCTGACCTCAGGCTCTGAGATCAATTTCTCAGGGGAGTCTTCTGAGCCTCCCAGACTGTGAACAAAGGCAGGAGAACTAGGCCAGCCCCACCTGCACTCCTGGCTCCTAACTTGCTTTGCAAACCTTTCTCCCAGCACCTGCAGAGCCTGTCATTATAGAAACATTCATGTGTGTGTCTCTTTCTGTGTGCTCTTGTCAATTAGCTGGAGGGACAGCACATGTAAGGATCACATCTCCTGGCTCCACTTCCTCCCATCTGACCACATGAATACTTCCCTTCCTCCCATACCCCCTGTGTCCCTAGAGAACAGGCATCTGCCCCTCACTCTGAGCAGGGATCCTGGAGATCGCCCTAACCCACCTACCTTACTATAAGGAATTCCCAAAACAGTTTGAAAGAACACAGAAAACTTATTTTTGTAACAAATAAAGGTCTAAGTGATTAAGTGAGAGTTCAAAATAGCCCAAATAGTGGATGGGAAGGGAACTGTGGGCATAGACGTGAGAAGAAAAGTACTGAGGACTGAATTGGAGCAAATTATATTCCATGCTTGCATAATTATATCAAAATAAACCCCAATATTATGTATAACAGTAATGCAGTAATGAAAAGATTAGAAAAGAAATGGAGTTAATCTGTGTATTAGAGGTTATTTCATATAACTGCAAAGAATAGTGAATGGCTGGGTATCCAGCTAGAAAATGAAGCAATATTGGAAGCTCTGTCCACATGGAGCTGCCTGTACCTCCCTCTGCCATTGATTTCATTGTATATTCTGAGGCCCTGCAGAAAGCATCTCTAAAGAGGTCACGGCAAGGGCAGAACTTTCCCTCTGGTCTTAGCCAAACCTCTACTGGTATCACTGGACTTGGTACTTCCCTCCATTCCTCCTTTCACTTTACTTTGTTCAACTTGCTTTGCAGACCTTTCTCCCAGCACTTCCTTTACTCTATTTGTCTTATCTACTGTTTAATTTTTTATTAGTGCATTATAGGCATAAATAAAGGTGAAATTCACTGTGGTACGTTCACTCGTGTACACAGGATCCTTCATCAGTTTCATTCCACCATTCTTCACATTTTCTGCCTCTCCTCCATCCCTCTCTTCCAACCCCTACCTCTACTCTATTGGTCTCTCTTCTGTTCTGATGAGATTCCTCCTCCCCTTTTTCCCCTTATTTTGGTCTAGCTTCTGCATAAGAAAGAAAACACTTGATCCTTGACTGTATGGGTCTGGCTTATTTCATTTAGCCTGATCCTCTCTGGTTCCAGTCATTTACTGGCAAAAGCTATGACTTCATTCTTCTTTATGGCTGAGTAAAGCTCCACTGTGTACATATACCATGCTTTTGTGATAGTAGGAGCAAATGTGACTCCATTTTGTTTTATGACTTCATCCTGTAAAACAACCATGCCAAGTAGAAGAGTCATGACTGGAGCAAGATGTTCTTTTCCTTTTGCTATAGAAACCTTTAAGAACACAGAACTACCTAATGGGGCATTGTTTCTGTAACTGGGGTGACTGGGCTAACTGTGATTGGTTAGGCTTCCCTCCGCTTGACTGCACTGTCTCGCTTCTGTAACCTGGCTTGCTTGCATTGGCTAGACCCCCTGAACACCCCTTTTGCAGTTTTCAGGCTTATAAGGAGTGCCCTTGCAATTGTTCGGTGCTGATCAGGGGAACAGCTTTATGTTCTGGTCAGCCGCCACCGGTGTGCTTCAATAAAGGCTTGATTCGATTATATGTGAGTGGTCTGGAAGTCAGTTTATGAAACCCTGGGACGAAGCTTTAACTATAACACTTTCTTTAACCATTCATCTGCTGACAGGCATCTGGGCTGGTTCCATAACCTGACTGGTGTGGATTGCACTGCTATAAACATCGATGTGGCTGTATCATGATGGTAGGATGACCTTAGATCTTTATGATATGTGCCAAGGAGCTGTTGAGATCTATTTTGTATATTGTATTTTGTATATTGTATATTGTACACCTTAATTCGTCTATTTGTCCATTCCTATCTTATTACCGTAATGTTTTGATATGGTGGCCTCTGGGTTTAGTATTTTGAATGGCAGACACTCTGACCCCATCATTACATTTTTTTTTCCTATTTTGGAGCCATTTTAATGCTACTTAAAATTTTATTTAACTGAAAAATTCGGGAGCTAATTAATATTTTGTTACATTAAGTGTTCTGAACCGAGAAAGGAATACATCTTTTCACTAATTCAAAATAGTTTTTATCCTTCAGAGAGCTATACAGTTTTTGATATGTGTCTGTACTATTCATATGAAATATATTCCTAAGTATCCTCTTTCTGTTTTTGGATTTTGAATACGTCACTTATTCCCATTTCCATTTCTAGTTGGTTGTAGTTAACACATGCTTTCATTTGTATGTGTTTATCTTTTTTACTTGAATAAACACCTTTATAAATTCTAGCAAATGTTCTTTCAAACAGGGTTGTTTGTTTGTTCTAGGTACATAGTCACATCATTGGTGAAAGGATTCAGTCCATCTCTTCCCCTGTGGGTCCCTCTGCCTCAGCAGCTACTCTTGCTCCAACAGAAGGGTGCACCTCCTGTATCCCCAGAGACTTCAAAGTCCAGAGGAAATTTCAACTGTCACATTCTGTGCCACCTGATGCCCTTGTTTAGAATTAGGCCACAAAGCCTGCATCTTTTTTCTATTTTTAGTTATACATGACAGTAGAATGTATTTTGGCGGAATATACATACATATAGTATATCTTATTCTATTTAGGGTCTGCATTCTTGTGGTCATATACAGTGTGCAAATACAAGGCTAGGAAAGTTATGACCAATTAATTCTACTATATCCTATTCCCCTCTCCCCTCCCTTCCCTTCATTTCACTTTGTCTAATCCAATGGACTTTTATTCTTCTCCTTCCCACTCTCTCTTGTTGTGAGTTAGTATCCACAACAACATTCAGCCTTTGGTTTTGGGGGATTGGCTTATTTCACTTAGCATGGTATTCTCTAATCAATCACCATCAATTTACCAGAAAATGCTATAATTTCATTTTCTTTATTGCTGAATAATATTCATATTTTGAAGGCTATGTTGAATAGGAGTCATGGAAGAGGGCATCCCTGTCTAGTTCCAGTTTAGAGAGAGAGTACTTTCAGTTTTTCTCCATTTAGATTGATTTTGGCCTCAGGTTTAAAATATTTAACTTTTACAATGTTGAGATATGTTCCTGTTATCCCTAGTTTTTCTAGTGTTTGAACACAGAGGGGTGTTGTATTTTGTCAAATACTTTTTCTGCATCTCTTCAGATGATCATATGATTCTTATCTTTAAGTCTATTGATGTGATGAATTTTATTTATTGAGTTTTGTATATTGAACCAATCTTGCATCCCTGGGATGAACCCCCACTTGACTGTGTTTGGCTCTTTTACATATGCTACAAAACCTCCATTATCTGGGGCAGGTTCCCTTGATCATGGTGGTAAGAAATTAACTCAACTTCCTGCTTTCTG